CCAGGACAGCCAGGAATACAGAGAAAAACCAAAACCAAAACAAAAAATCCTACTCATATGAGCCAATGCATACCTTGGTGATACTACACAAAAGCTACCATACAAGGATGAGACACAGAACCTACAATAATTATTTTTATTACTGCCAGACATGGTGGTTATTGCCTGCAATCCTAGCTATTCAAAGACAGAGGCAGGTCAGGCATAAAGATGTAGGTCTTTAATCCCAGCAATTGGGAGGCAGAGGCAGGAGTATCTTTGCAAGTTCAAGATGAATCTAGTCTACAGAGCAAGTCCCAGGACAGCCAGGATTACACAGAGAAACTTTGCTTTAAAAGAAAAAAAGAAAGAAAGGAAGGAAGGAAGGAAGGAAGGAAGGAACGAAGGAAGGAAGGAAGGAAGGGAGGGCAGATGGACGAACAAACTACATAGTGAGATCTTGTGGGGGGGGGACAATAGGATCATAAATTTGAGTACAATCTAGGCAATCTCTAAATAAATAAATTTTTTTAAAAAAAAAACTATTATAAAGCTTCAACCTGCCAGAGTCAATTAGAGCACTTAACCAAATCTTCTAGGTAGCTAAACTAAGTCTGTACATTACACACAATCCAAATTTCCATGCCAAAAAAACTAGATTAACAATAATATTCTTTCTTTCTTTGGAGTGGGGGTTGGTTTTTCTATTTGATGGTGCACACCTTTAATCCCAGCACTCAGGAGGCAGAGACAGGCGGATCTCTGGGAGTGTGAAGGCAGCCTGGTGTACATCTACAAAGCAAGTTGCAGGACAGCCAGGACTGTTACACAGAGAAACTACTGTCTCAAAAAACATAAACAAAAACAAACAAAAAAGAATGTACCTTAATATTAAATATTCCTTTGGTGAACTTTTCCTTTTTCAAAAAACTTACAGTATTTCTTTCTTTGGAATCCATATTCCTACCCTAATTTAAAGTCAAGAATTGAAGCCAGGCGGTGGTGGTGAGTGCCTTTAATCCCAGCACTCAGGGAGGCAGAGGCAGATCTCTCTGAGTTCAAGGCCAGCCTGGTCTACAACAGCTAGTTTGGGAGCCAAAGCTACAGAGAAATCTTGGCTTGAAAAAAAAAATAACAACAACAAAAAAGCAAGCATTGAGCCTCTAGAACCATGAAGCCACACCGCTCTGTTCATCAGGCTAATTACAATAATTCCCAAGTCTGAATTTCCTACCGCAGAAATGAATGCAGACTTCAAATGAAAGCTACCCCACAGTTCTGTTCAATGAGATAACCCTGTCAAACAATTTAAGGTACCAGCCAATATACAGAAAATTTTATTAGCACTTTCAATTACCCCCAATGTCTCATAGAGCTTCATATATATATATATATATATATATATATATATATATATATATATAGCACTTAGTTAATTTCCCAGATTTCTGTTTAAAAGCTATCACTAATTTCCTGCTGCAATAGCCTAAGGTTACTATTTTCTGATGCCAGTTACACGCAGAACATATCCTGAGATCTTTATATACATTACTTCAACACTTCCTCACCAAAACCTAGAGAGAGGACTAAATAACAGATGAAGCACCTGGAAGAGCAACTACCAGAAATGCTTTAAAGCACTAGCCACTCAGTACTGTTATCACATTAACGTTAGTGTCCCATGCTATTAAATTACTGCTGCTGATATTAATGTCAGTTATTACTACCCAGCTATTATCAGGCCGCTCTTATCTGGATGTTGTGGGCATTTCCAGACTCCAGTATTTCTGATCTTCAAATACATCAACTTTATTAAACTGAAGTTTATGCTTACAGATCCCATGCTTGGCATGTGCTTCCCACATCCAACTGTTCATTAATCAGACTCAGCCCAAATGTCACCTCAACCTGTTCACCACCTCTAGGGTCTGTCTCGCGGGCCCTCTCTGGACCTTTATCCAATCCGAGCAAATGCTATGAAGCCCTCCATCACTGACCTTTACCGCCAGTGGCCAGCTCTTTTAGTACACTGATACTATGCATCACTGTTAATAATGCCTATGAGCCTGGCACTTCCTCCTCACCAGCATGGTTACCTGGGCATTTCTGTACTCTCTTAATTCTTACAACTCAAGGTGAGTTTAATGCCATCTTTACAAAGAAAAAAATAGCTTGTTACAGCAGCTAGTTTATAGCAATGCCAGAGTATTGTCATTCCTGTTTTCACCAGAAAAAAAATCCAGGTTTGGGGTACCGTGTCCTAAATATTAGTAGTAAACAAAACCCCCCTGCACAAAACTGTCTGCAAGTTACTTTCAGGGCCCTCAACCAGAGGATGACATTTGGATCTCTGAATTTTAGAGACTGCAAAAGCGACTTGAGATCCCACCAACTTCCAACATTTTGGGGGAAGTCTACATGCACGAAGAAATGTCTTTATTTTTTTTTCCAAAAGAATATCCTGAAAATACAAATATGTTTTTTCTAGAAGTAATCTATCTAGATAAGCAAAATTCTCAGAGAAAACACTTTAATTGAATGGGCAAGAAACTAAAGATGCTACCTACTTACATAGAGGGAGCAAACATTTGCAAACAATCCGTCAGATGGGACCCAAGAATTAGTCCCAGCCCAGCCAACCAGCTCACAGTGCTTCACACCTGTAGGCTGGTTCCTCATTTGATGGGGTCAGTTTCCTTTCAGATTTGACCAACCTCAATTAAAATGGAAGGTCTTTAGGAACAGAGGACTTTTTCCTTTATTGCCAGGACCTAGGCCAGTAACTGTCACAGATTGCATAATAAATGTAGTAGAATAAGGTGACCAGATCTCAATATTGGTTTATTACCATATTCCTATTACACACTGAATTTCTCAGACTCTATGATAGCCACTATTATGAAACATATGGGATGCAAATACACGACAAAGGCCAGTTTCTGCCATCAAAGCAGCCAGTTTATCATAAATCTAGAGCAGTGCTAAACCCTCTCTCTATACAATGTTATCTACAAAGCAAGGAGACACAGAGTCACAGTAATCGAGGCTGGCTGAAATCTAACAGTCGCAGCTTCCTGAATGCTGGATTAACAAGGGTTCGCCACCATACATAGATCCATAAGCAACTTCGAAACCAAGAAGCTAAGGTACCAAATACTTGCAGCAAGTCATCTAATTAAAGTCTTATTAAAATCAGTTTTGCAATACTGTCTAGACTATCAGGATTGAGTTCACAGGACTACTAATTGTGAAGTTGAAGACATTCTCACAAGGCTCCGCTAAGACCCTGAGACTAGCTAATCAAATCTTGAGACCACAATCAAAAATAAACTTCCTAACACTTACACTGGAAGACCCTGGAAACGCACTCCAGCCATTCATTACATATGTATGGGGACAAAAAGGGGTCAAGATTCACCTCAGAAATAAGACAAAACCTTGCTCCTGCCAAAAAGGGAATTTTTGTGTGTGACATTCTGGATCCGAAAGCCATTATTTTCTTCCAAAAGAGGCTAATCTCCATTTCCTTAGAAAGTTTCAGACCTCACTCTTGAAAACATGAGTCCTCGAAACCAAAGCTGCTGTTTTCCTTTGGGAAAACGGCACGATTCAGAATGGAAGCTGAGTATCTGAAATGGCAATTTTCCCTTACATTTAAAAAAAAATGTACAGACAGAAAAACGTAAGTCACCTCTCTTTCTCTTCAATAACCACCTACAAAGAGATGGTATTTTTCGGTCACTCCGATCAAACTTTAATCACGGATTGCACAGGCACTGAGAGAGGAGGTCCCAGAGGAAGAAAGGTCACCGCCTTGGTAGGGATAACGCGTGGGTAGCAAAGAGCGAGGTGGCAGGCTAGGGACCCGGACACATCAAACCATTTCCTGAGTCCACCATTCCAACCTTTACCCGTTCTACCTCCCCAACCCCTTTGAGAAGTCTCCTCGACCACTAAGAGGGACGAGTGACAGGCCTGGCGGCGCCTCTGGCCCACGAAAGGAGCCTGCAACCCGTTCAGAGCCGGGGTGAGGATCCGGGGGAAGAGAGCGCTTTCAAGATGCAGCCGTCGCGGCCCAGCAAACGGTCAGAGCTGCGAACCCTCACAAAAGAAAAGGAATGGCGAACAAGGGCCGGAGGAAAGCAGGGCAGGCTGAGGAAGGGGGAGCGGGAGGCCGGGCGAGCGCGAGGCCGCGGAGGGCGTGGAAGAGGCCACGGCGGCTCGGGCAGTGCCTGC